ATCCTGCATTGATTGTTTTGAAGAACAAGTCCAAAATTGCAACGCTGTGGCCATTCATGCATTTCACAGATATTAAGTAGTACAGCACTTGCAATTGACAACCACACTGATAAATGGAGAACCCACCAAGAAAATTCTTCCACAAATAATATGATTATGGGAATTATTAAGCTCTCTGCTGCAGCCTGTGGAGTAGTGCTTATTAATAATGTTAGGTCCTGTTTGGTTTATGGTAATAGGGGTCTTGAATCGGAATCGGAATCGGAATAGATTATTTCGATTCCAATTATTTGGTTGGCTATATAGAATCGAAATCTCAATTTCATTCTATTCTCTACCCTTTCCTTGAGAATGATTTTAATTTCCATTCTTATTTCTATCTGAATCAAATGAACTATGAGAATAGACCATTCTAATTCAGATTCTGCCTATCAATCAAACGGACCCTTAATCTGTTGCAAAGACACTTTCATCAGTTAATATGAAGTGGATGGGGGGTTGATTGTTTAAACTTTGGCTGGCAGAAATGGACCCTCCAGCCACGTGCATGCAACTCAGTCTCCGTATGATTTCTTAACAAGTATTAATTTACCTAACACCATGTGCCACCACATTCCACTCTCGACAGTCCTCCATTTTCAACGGACTGTTCAAATTGCAAACGACAAACACGTAAACTCCAGGTAGAAACTTGAAAGGATATAAATACGCGCACTCCAGCTTCAACAACCATGCATATCCCCATTTATGTGGGGAACGCCCATGTCCCAACCAATTCCCTCAATGGGTCCGTCCATGCATGAACCCGTCTCTACTTGAAATCCTACTTACACGGCATTTCACTCCAAACACAATTATTAATCCTACTACCTTGGAATTACAATAATTTTCTCCAAATAATTGCACTCAACAGCATGTTTACGTATCTAATAAATCTTAAACTGGATTTAATTTGCTCAATTTGATAAAAAAAAATTAACAATAATAAAGAAAAAATTACTATAAATATCTTGTTATAATTTAAAATTAATACATATATATTTCTTTGCACTTAGCTTCCAATCTTAGTTGAAGCAACTCTTAATTACCAAGAAAGGAATCTAATAGAAGCAACAGTCATCAGCGACCTATTGCCCTCTTCCCATTTCCTCTCTCTGCAATGTCATGAATTAGATTCTAAGCTAGCTAGCTATATAGGAGTTACAATTGAAAATTGTTTATACTGCTTATATAGGTAATTGAACCAACCCTATTATCACCTCGACTGCTGTAGATCAGACTTCAATCAGACGGTTGATATTTGATAAGAAGAATATTAGCTGCTAATGAAAAGGTGAAGAAGCTAGCATATATGATATTACGTGCACACTACTACCATCAAAAAAAAAAAACACAGTTTTATTAATTATTAGTCAAGTATTAGGTACTATAGTAATAGTACGGTTGATTATTACTGAAATCACGTCAAACCTAACTCCAAATCCTAACATTATTATCATCCAACAATATTATATATATAGGCCAAGCTACTTCAAGAAAAATGGGGGTATTATGAATTTATTTATGCTGAAATGGTGTATTTATATATAAACTAAAGAAGTATAATTCCCTGGTTATTAATTATTAGCTTTGAGCAAAATTAATATTAATTAGAAGTACTGGTGCACATGTAGGTGGTTTAGCTTTTAAAAATGGACTCGAAATTGGAACCGTTTTGACCATTGGTTTCCAGATTAATAGTTCGACCATTAGGTTCTAACTGATGGCCCATTTCAATTTAAAAAAGTAAAAAATAATTCAAATAAAAATAAGCAAAAACCATTAAACGAGTCAAACAGGTTGACAGTTCAATCACCGGAGTCAATACAACACTGATTAAATCAACGGTTTTTGGCCAAAGTCTGTATTAAGGGTAAAACGGAACCATTTACTTAGATGGTTCCTGGGCCAAATGATTCAACCATTCAGGTCAATCGCGGTTCAAAAACACTGCAAAACAGCAATGGGTGTAACGGGAATGTCATATATACATGATAACTAAGCAACCAATCTAATCTCTACTTTTAATTAAATAAGCATGCGTAGGAACAATTAATTAAAACCGAATAATGATTTACAGAAGCATATAATTTGAATTAGTGTGGACCCTTCATGCAAATTGGTGAAGAATAGTGAAGCTACTCTTTAATGCATAATATATATTGCAATGGTTAATGGGACAACAAATAAAGAAATATCTCAGTTCATGCTTGCTACGCCCATGAGTCAGCGTCAGAACCGGCAACCCATGTGCACCCTCATGTCCTAAGTCTCAACCCTCTCTCTTTCTCTATATGAGGACGTCTTTGTTGCCTCTTCTTCCCCATGTTAATTTCCATCTTTCTTTCTTTGAAAATCACACTGTCATCTGTCAAACCTGTTTTGTTCATCGTTGAGCTTTAATTTGATTTATGCAGACAAGCCCCAAATGGGGAATTGCTGCTTGAAACCCAACAAAGTTCCAGCATGGGAGGAGCCACACCGGCGGCCATTGGCAGAATCGGGTAAGATACCTGCAGAATCATTGGAATCTATGAAGCCCAACGAAGGTGGTGTGGGTGTGGCGCTGATGAGGTTCAAAACGGGCAATGAGGTTGTAAGCACTGAAGAGAGCAACGGTGACGGAAAGGGAGGTGGTGGTGGTGTGAGGTTCAGAATTATCTTGACACAACAAGAGTTGAATCGGATTCTGAATTACAAGAAAGATTCCAAGTGTGTTTCGGCAGAAGAGTTACTAAGTTTAATGAAGGAGAAAAGGAGGATGGTCGGAGCCAGAACCGACAACAGAAACGAGAGCCGTGGTTGGAGGCCAACTTTAGAAGGTATTCCAGAGGATCGATCCTTAACAACTGGTAGCTAGCTGGTAAACGAGTCTGCTGGTTGCGTTTGATCATATAATTAATTACTTGAGTCGATGCTCGTTGTGTACTTATCGTGTTGGTCTGTTAAACGTCTGTAAAGTGTGAAGCGATGCTCTCTAGTATTAGTTGGATATAGTTGGGATGATTCTAGTGATTAACATGTGCAAGGTTAGGTCCCAATATTATAATCAATTGATTTCTGAAAATTATCCAGGAATGCATCCTTTAGATAAACTGCAGGCGGCTTCTCCTCTCCTTTGATTCAGTCTTGGTTTATCATGTCAAGATGAACTTCAATTGTGTTGCTCGTAAACTTGTTAAAATTGGTGACAATGGTCATTATTTTTGAGATTATTATCAATCAAGATATTATGGGTGAATGAAAGTTAGCTCCCTGAATATCAATAAAAAATAATATTTTTATAAAATAATCAAAATAGGATAACTTATTTGAAAAAAAATATCAAGAAAGGGCAGTGACACTGTTCCTCGTCTTCTCCTCTGCCTCTATATTCATGCCAATACACTGGATTCAAAAACAACGTTGAGGCTTGAAGGAAGACGAGGGCAGATAAGAGAAGGAAGAGGAAGATGAGGGTTTTGCACCCTCTCAAGATCTTACCTATGAATTCTCAGATTTTCCATGGCCATCTACCATAAAAGAAGAGTTTCCCAACAGCAACCAGATCATGGAGTATCTTGATTTGTGTGCTCAGGAGTTCGACCTTCTTCGCCACATCAAGTTCAATTCCAAAGTCATCGGCATCGACTACAAGGGAGCTTCTAATGATGAGATTCTCTCATGGAGGAAGACGAGGAACAGTCTCAACTGACATGGGTGAATCCATTTTTCCTTTCATTCCTCTTCCTTCTCTTATCCGCCCATGTCGGTGCACAAAACGAAGGAAGATGCTAGTCTTATCCACCCATGTCAATGTGCAAAACCCTCGTCTTCCTCTTCCTTCTCTTATCCGCCTTCGTTTTCCTCCAAGCCTCACCGTCTTCACATGAATAGAGAGGCAAAGGAGGAAGACGAGGAACAATGTCATTGCCCTTTCTTGATATTTTCCCAAAAAAGCTATCATATTTTGGTTATTTTATAAAAATATTATTTTTTATTGATGTTTTGAATGCTGCTACAGTAACCCGAACCAGGAAGAGAAGAAAGAAGAAGAGAAAGAAGAAGAGAAGAAGAAGAAGGAAAAGAAGGGTCTGTCGAAATCTGATGGTTATCACATTCAGTCGACCCCCTTAATAGTCATTTAGATTCTAATGACCTTTACAAAGACTAAACTGCCCTTACTTAAGTGTGGGGCAGAGTGTCTCTAATAAAACTGCCACATAAGCAAATCACTTAACAAACATAAGATGACTAAACTACCCCTATTCGGCTCACTTTAACACTCCCCTTCAAGCTGAAGAATATATGTCATATAATCCC